TGTCCAGTTGCCTACAGATGGACTTTGGGTCTCCACTCTTCACTCTCTTAAACACTCTTCATCACTGTCTATATGTTCTAAACCAAAACCCACTGCTATAAACTGTTTCTTACAGTGACTTAAATTGAAAATAAGAGAGTTACAAAAATCAATTAATAAAAGAAAATTGGAGTGTATGAAGTATGAAACCAAGGAAATTTGAAGTGATAAGTAATGAAATGGAATACATAAAGATCAATATCTTAGACATTAATGAACAGGAATGGACTGGTATTGGCCATTTTGAATTTAAAAACCATATGATTTATTATGCTGGGAATGAAACACTCAAAAGGAATGGAATTGCATTTATTGCCTAAAAGGTTATTTTAAGATCTCTCCCAAAGTATAATCCTTTCTATGATAGGACTATATTTGTCCTCATTCAAGGAAATCTAATCAATACAATGATTATTCAAGTTTGTGCACCAACCACTAAAGATAATGATGAATTAGAATTAGAGTTCTACTAACATCCAGTGTGAAATTGATGAAATATGCATCAATATGCATTGATAATTGTTTGCAATTGGAATGTAAAAGTTAGAAACAAAGAGGAAGGAAGAGAAGTTGGAAAATATGGCCTTGGTGAGAGATACAAACTAAAAATCACAAGATGGAACTTTGAAAGAACACGTCATCATTACAAATCACTTTTTTCAACATGACAAAAGGCAATTATATATGTGGACTTTATCAGACGGAATACATAGAAACCAAATGGACTATATCTGTGAGAAGAGATGATGGAGAAGCTCAGTGTAATAGCTACAATCAGGTCAGAGAATGCGCACGTCGGTTCAAGTTGAAGTGGAAGGAAACTAAAGCAAGTCCATGAGAGACAAAATACCACATTGAGTCTACTACAAAGGAGTTTTGTAAACCTCACCAGAACTGATATACTGCATTAAACACTAAGGACAGAAGTCCTTAGAGCTATGGAGGACATCAGGAACATCATACATGAAGAAAGCTAAAGGTCATTTAAAAGAACAAAATAAAGAAAAACAAACAAACAAACAAACAGTGTGGAAGACAAAATAGACTCTGAAATTTTCCCTTAAGCATACAGTAGCTAAGACAACTTGGAAGAAATGAAGTTAAAGAGCTGAATATCAATTTTCAAAGAACAGCTCAAGAAGACAAAATAAAATATTATATTGCCAAAATATTGAATGATGTAGGAAATGTCAAAAGAATATGGGGAGAATACAGAGTCACTGTATCAAAAAGAAGCAGTCTCTATCCAATCATTTCAAGATGTAGCTGCTTTCTTGGAGTGGAATCCACCATGGTGATGTGAGTGGACGAAAGCCGTGAGAACGGAGCCTTCAGGATCGCCGTTTGCTGATGAGGCATTACTCAAAGGTAAAAAGAAATACCAGCCACGCTCCCTACAGACAAGACCTGAATTTGTAGTGGGTGCAAGTATCTCATAGGTGTGCCATGGCAGAAATGTCTTCCCTGACTTTTTGACTGTTGATGGAGGACTTCTCCCACTGACATATTAATTGTAATTTTTTTCATGATACTTTAAAAACTTAAAAA